TCGCGTGGGAAGGCCACGGACGGTATCTCATAGCACGCGGGCTTCCGCAGGCTCGTCCTGGGCCGCATCCCCCTTTGGCCGGGGGTTGTTTCAGGTGGGTTGCGGTTGAGGGTCCGTGACACGGCTGCTACAGCGGAGGCGTGACTACAGAAAGGCCCATCCGTGACGCAGACGAGGTTGGACAGTGTGGAGATGTAACGGAAGGAGTGTGTTGATGGATATCTCTATCTAATATAAGGTGTGAGGGAGGAGCAGAAGGCTTAGGAAGAAGGAAACACAACTCAAGAGGGACGCATGGGATCCCGTCACACGATGGGAGGGAGACTTCGTACCGTTAAAAATGGCAGGTACCGGTGCTGTAGTGTTGTCGCCATAGCGTTTTTATCGGAAAATTTCGTTTTAAAATTCCCTACTTCCTTTTTTTAGTCAATCAATGGCAACACAGAGGTCGGAGTCCATGGACGCAAGACCTTTTGCATTTTTTCACATTCATTTCCTCAATATCATTTTCATATACTCCACAACATCCATCGGAGGCATATCGAGAGGATATTTTCGCTGAAGAGATCGCAGATGATACCCAATACGTCGTTCCCGGCGTATCATACGCCATAGGGCCTCTTCGGTTTCGTGTGTATACCCTAATCCATGCAAAAGTGCATGAACAAGGACAGCTTCGAGGTATAATTCCAACGGGAGATTTTTCAGAGGAAGACGCATCGCGCGACGCCAGATATATTCCACGCAAATATAAATTTTTCCAAGATCAACGAGCTCACTGCGAAGCGCACGCCGCGTAGGCAAATGATCTGTTTTCGTCGAAGGAGGATAAAACAAAACCGGAGAAGACGTTAGATCTGAGTCGTCATTTTGTTCAAGCACGTCATTAGTGCAGGAAAAGAGGATATTGTTGATGCTTTGATTGGTTTCGTTAACTTCGGAAAAAGTGAGGGCGTCTGTTGGCTTGCAATGCCCTCGTGTGAGCTGATTAATAGATTGCATTTGATCCGATGGTACAAGAATCAGGTCGAGATACGTATCACAGGGGGCGCGCTCCAGCCAAAGAACCGCCATCACCCGCCTCTGCAGTCCTCTGAAAAAATTAGGGGAAGCCCCTTGGATGAGTACATTCGGAAATAATCTCTTGTAAAACATTTACGTATTCATTGAATAAATGGTAACGTAAAGATGAGTGTGCTCTGCATATGATATATAGATATTCCCTTTACACGTATCTGGTACTGTTCATATAAACTACCTGCAGAGTAGATCAGGAAGTTAAAATGGAGTGTATTGCATAAAGCTACAAAATTGAAACCACACACAATAAAAGATAGAAGTGTATGCACAGAACGCTAAAATGAGAAGTTCACTTGAGAACTCTATTCACAATGATGATAGAACCTCGATATTGTGACGAAAAACAAAAGTATCCTGAAACACAAACTTATATAAGGGATAGTTATGATAATGAAATTAATAACAATAACCATAATAAAATCACTTTCAAAGAGTAGACTAAGGTTAGATAGATTGTATTTGCACAACCAACAAGCCATGTATTACCAGCAACTCTGACGACTCGATTTCCTCCTGTAGCTCTGATTCTACCATCATGAAATGTAGATTTTTGCGATTCAAGAGATCCGCATCGGAAAACGATTCAACATTCCATAAAAAAAGAAAGATTTTTTCTGAGATCCGAAGAAGCACTAGATTTCGTTGAGTATTGTGCAGGGTTTACGGGAGATGATGCCTTTGTTATATTTTCTACAGTCAGCACGCTCGAGCCGATTTCTTGGATCATACCCAGGAGTATGCATTGTATAAATAATAATAAAAACCACACAACACCTTGATATTTAGTTGACGAAAGCGCACCCTCCAAAAGGTCTTATTTTCCTTAACCATCGACGTAATTGTGTGTGTACATGTCTGAATCAGCTTTCGGACCAACAAATACATTGTCTTTTCATTCATCTCGAAACGCCGCGAAGGATTTTATACCTAAAGGAAATTTTCAAAAAAAGTTCAAATACTCTGATGAACTTCTTTCACGAGCGGATTTATACTCTTTTTATCCTACGGTAAACTTCAATAAACCGGGAAAGGAAGGCTGTTTGTGACGTTTTCAACACACCTTCGAATGAGCTCATTCTTCGTGGTTATCACTTCCAATATGGCGTAAAAATTCAACGAAAGCCACTTTTGAAGGCAGACTAAAAGGCCAAGCGAGACTTTCAAAATTTCCGTAATCGAAACTAAACGGAGCGGTGAGAGCAGCGTCCAAAGTCCCTCTGCCATCCGCCCCACGGACTGTTGACTAATTCACATAAAATCCACCAAAGTGATGGATGGAGTTGAATTCAATTCACTTGAATGGTAAACCACTTAAGCGAAAAGAACATGCTGAGCAATTTATAATAATCCAACAGAGTGAGTGAGGATGCTTTATTGAGGTCTGCCAAGAAGGTAGATTAAATAGCATCACCATAGTGATAACCACAGTTGTGGTTGAAGGGCCTCTCATGTGGGTAATCCTCTCGAGGCAATTCGCTCAATGAAAAAAAAATAAAAGAAACTTTGATATCATGAAGCTTGTTTACAACATAATCCTCTCTATTGATTCACTCCTCTCCTCCAACGCTCCAACGTAATTGCTTACACGAATGGAATTAGTTATCTTGAGGATGTCAAGCGGATTAAAATTCTTAAAGGCATACGTTTCCTCAATAAGTCGAATTGTCATGTCCAAAAAGCAAGGGTGAGTGGGTGGTGATAGCGAAGAAGAGGTTTGGTATGACTGAATAAATCAGCCAAAGCTCCCTTTTTTCAAAAATAAAGTTACTCACCGGAAAAAAAATGTTCCTGAAGCCGGCATAACATACTTCTACTCAAAAGCAACTCGCCCTTCTCAAATGGGCAAAGGTCAAAAAGCTTCGAAAATGGAGGAGTAGGATCCTGAGGAAGGGTGGCATATCATAAAAAGCAATCTATCTAGATATATAGATATAGGATTAGATCCTCTTCTCGCTCTTAACAATGAAGAAATGATTTAATGGAGTATCAATTTATAATAAAGAAATATTTATCTCCATTTTTCCTCTTGGGGGTGGGGGGGTGGGGGGGGGAGGAGGGGAGGAATTGGGTAGGTAACAGGGGTTA